CTGGACGGCCAGGATTTGAGAGGTCTGGTCCTGGGCCTTAATGAGTCGCTTCATTTCCTCTTGGGTGAAAGGGGGACTGGCAGAGGCGCAGCCCCACAATACATGCTCGAAGTCCGCATAACCACCACACAGGGGGCAGTCCGGGCTTGGAAACCGTTCAGGGTACATTGTGTGCAGTGCCGCAGGGCTCGGGTAAGTGTTTGTTTGTAGCAGTCGGAGAGTAACAGCTTGGGCCCTGCATAGCGAGGAGTGTGGTAGAGGCAGCAGTCTTCTTGACAGATAGTGGTGCTTGCATATCTCGTTGTACGAGCAGAGAGGCTCAGGTCGCCCAGGAGATGACGCGTTACCCGGCACACGGTCAGTCAAACCTCGTGCAGCCGAGTGCGCCTCCTCGTTGGGATTGAGCGAGGCACACTCAATGGTTCCAAGGTGCGCAGGAAACCAGACCAATGAGTGATTTTTGAGGTCTTTGACTTTTTGAATAATCTGTAGGACCTGGGGATCCACCATGCCCATCTGGAAGGCCTTGATAGCGGCCTTGGAGTCTGAATAAATTGTGTCATGTACACCGTCTGTCAATGCAAGAGCAATGGCAACCTGCTCTGCAACGCTGGAACTAGAAGTTTGGATGGTAGCGCAGCTGATGACTCTGCAATCACAGTCGACGACCACTGAGGAGAAGGCTTCTTCTTGAATGTACGAAGCAGCATCGACGAAGCAGGCTCGATCCTTGTCCAAGCGGGCACTGGCGAGCAGAGATTTACCCCTGGCTCGTCTTCGTGCTTCGTTGTAGGTTGGAGAGAGAGAGATAATTAACTTTATTAAGTCCAGAGGTTTGGGGAACAGGTCCTCGTCTAAATGGCGGTTGGTACCTTTGGGTTTTGGCGGCGTTTTCAGCCAGCTGGACGGCCCAAAGTTGATCTTCCAGATCCGAGCTTAGCAGCACGCCCTCTCACTGCTCATCATTATCTATTCAGCGACCCTGTATGGACACCTGAGGGCAAGACCACAGAATGTGTCTCACATCCTCCCGTTCCCAGCATAGCTGGCTTTTGCCTTTGTATTGGTCTGGGTGAAAACTGCTGTAGGCCACCAGACTCAGATAACTGTTGGTTTGGACAAGGCGCTAGACCACTGTCTGCGGCTTATTGAGTCTCGGATTGGCAGGGGAGTACCGAGCCATCGCCAATCTATAAATACTTTGTGAACTGCCCGTGCTCCCATCTCTCATATCTGGCTGAGGCTGCTCACTGGCTAAGAACTCTCGAAGGTGGAACTTTCGGACATAAAGTACTACTTGTGCATACTACCAGTTCTATGACACACGAACAGCTACGAAATCCAAGATTTTTTTTTTGAAGCTCGCAATCATTCCTTGGTTTGTCTAGGAACTCTTGCAGAAAAGTCACCACGACTGCGTCATTGTGACTTTAGTGTCCCTTTTCGGCGACCACCAGCTCGTCCTAATATACTTGTACACCCGGTAAACCCCGCAGTATTGCTTCCATTCGAAAAACCGCCGGCGCTGGTGCAACCCCAAGCGGTAGCCGGTTAAAGCAATGCAACCCTGTTGGCGGATTTACTGTAGCAGCAGCTTCTTTGTCACGTCATCTGTTGGTTGCTAGTTGAGTGCATCCTTCAGGTCGATTGTACTGTATACTTCGCCTCGTCTTAACTTCGCAAATGTATTCCCTATCTTTGGCAGTGAATATTCCTCGGTGTGACATGCCGTGTTGACCGTTGTTCTAAAATGGCCACACAAGCGGATGGAGCCGTCTTTCTTGACAACCGGAACAAGTGGCGCCACCCACTCGGCGCTAGCGACCTGTGTCAATATGCCCGTGTCAACCTATCTTGCCATTTACAGACTCTCTTAGAGCGCATGCCGTACCGAACGGACCTTGCAAAATTGCGGTATGGTTCCCAGGCGCAACTGTCGTTGAACCGGATAACCCTTCATTAATCTTAGTCCTGGCGAAAACAGATCGGCATGTTTCTCTCTCGGTGTCGCAGCAATGGAAGTTTCGTCAACAGATCGTGGCTTACCATTTTTGACGTCCACGTTGAGCACTGGCCTTCCGGTAAGCTAGAATGCTTGAATTATGTCCCGCCCACATAAGTTTGGGTCTGAGCAGCCGAGCACCACTATAGCGTCGCGTTGACGGTTTTTCCAGCGTAAACGTAACTGTCCTTTCACTGGTAGTCTTCCGAGGAAGCAACTCAACTGCAACATTGACTTGCCGAGACCGGGCCTCTACCGGTGGCGGTGCTGCAGTTAAATGTCGGCCGCGTTCCTATTGACACCGGTGATCCTGTGTCCACTTGCATCTTCACGGGCACCTCCTTTCCATTGCAACGTTCGCCATAACGGCCCGACCATTCCTGTCGACGACTCACGTAAGTGTAGCAGGAACTGTGTCGACCGCTGTCCGAGGATGGTTCTTCGCAGTGAGCTACGTTTTCTAGGCGTGTTTACACATAATGCCAGATGTCTCCTTTTCCGACAACAGAAACACTCGGCGCGGCGGAACCTGCACTGGGTGGTCTTATGGGCATCGCTTTCACAGCAAAGGCAGCCATGGTTTAGTTGTCGCGGGACTGCGTCGTCCGCCTTGGCTGCGGCTTTCTGGATAACTTTTGTCGCTCTTGGTTTGTTCCTACTGTATTAACGCCGTTGCTGATTGGTCCATCTCCCATCTGTGGTACTACGCTGCGCGCCACCATCTCAGCCGCTAATGCCGCATCGTCCGCTTCCTGCAGCGTAAGAGCATACTTTGCGAGCAGATTACGACGAACTGTAGCATCCCGCAGACCACGGACTAGCCTGTCGCGCAACATTCTATCAAGTGCCTGGCCGAAATTGCACTGTTTAGCCGTCTTCCGCAGATCGACAATAAAATATAGCTTGTCGACTCGTCAACTTGCCCATCCCTGGTGAAAAACTGATAAGACACCGCTATTTCGTTGCCTTTCCGCGAAAGCACTCGGCCAGTTTTTAAACCACTGCTTCGTACATCAAATCTTGAATCTTGTCAGGCGCACAGTGGCCTGCCAGATGGTCTACCATTTTGATACTAAGGGCTCTAACCAATAGGGTCCGATGCTTCTTCGGATCGTCAATCGCATGAGTTTCGAAGAAAGCTTTTAATCACACCTAATATGCTTCCCAATCGTCGTCCCCTTCGTCATTGATAGGTGGCTCGGCATGCGCCGCCATACTGTTCTCTGGCCGTGGGGTTTAATCACGTCGTCGCCACTGAAGTAACATGCATGAGACAGCAATACGCACAGGTTTATTGCGTTAGTCGCAACTGCAACGTGACGTCATGTCACTCAGACATTCACGCATGCGCTCGTGGCGTTTGCTGCACAGTAAGGCTTCATTGGCAGCGAAGAACGTTCGACAACAAATAGAATTCAGCCTCCTTTTCATACTCAGGCGCGTCACCCATTCATGATCGCTGCACCCAAATACGGCGCAATTAAACATAATAACGGATGGCAGGTGCGCAAAAAAAAATCACAGCATATCCACACAGTGAATGATGATGAGTGGGGCAAATCACTTCTCATTCTTCGTCTGTCTGTCTGCGACGAGCACGAGCCACCGCGGCTTGTGGGATACTGCTGGTTACGCCTGACGTAAGACAAGGTTAGACTAAGAGAAACTTAGGCCCTAAAAAAACGGCTCAACTTAAGCATCCACTGCTAGAGTAGCCATAGATATGCCGGGCAAAAACAGTGCCTTCCCGGCATGCCATGCGGGTATGCTGTGGGAGCACTGAGTTTCTCGGAGGTGAATACCACCCTCAGGTCAATCTGTGGGGCCGACTTTGCGCCCCAACTTCTGCCTATGCTGGCAAGAATGTGCGCATATGACATTTATTGCGTGGCACCGAGGTGCGCACAAGTACCGAACAAATTTTTGGGTTCCTTGTGAAAATGTCCATATACGCACCCGCGGCACCCACTAGTGAGGGCCACCTTGGTACTGTAAGGCGAGCGAATCTTGAAGAACCGGCTTTTGAGCACTCGTTTAATACCAAAGTGTCTCCAAGAGTCGATGATGTGTCGTGCCTGCAATTATTTGTACATCATCACAGAACTCTTCATTTATGTTGAAGTTATATATGCACTGAGTAATACAAGTTTTAGGTGAACTACCCGTACATTCGCAGCCAATTGTGTACGAGCACACTGTCCCTGGCAGCAAAATATGTGAACTAAAACAGGTGTGCTGGAGAGATGCCAGCTCAGCCAAAGAATGAGGCAGCGTGAAAGTAAACATACGCTTCTACGTTATGGCAAAAAAAAAAAAAAGGACGCCGTGCAGTATTGCAGTAGATCGTGTTTTCACGCCTCCGTAGCGCTTACTTACAGCTGTGAAATGCTCAAACAACTTGACGAACAAATGTTTTTGCTTGAACAATTGGCGCAACGAATCTCGGATGGTCAGCATTTGTTACCTTCAAACTGTCGTTCCAGAGTAAAAATGTATCGCAAAAGGCAGTGCATCACTCCTCATCAAACGAAGGGTCTCTTCGGGCATATTCTGAGAAGATGTGCTTCGCAGGATATGCTCGAAGAAGTGAGAATATCATGCAGTTAGTTCGCTATACTAACCATGTGGTCAATATCCGAGCTCTCAACTAGCACACTACGGCAACAACGCATTGAACATTTTGAAAACGTGACCGTAGATTTAACAACAAGATGGATAACTTCAGGGGATCTCAGATGTTATCAACCTATGGAGTAAAAAACTACCTCTTGAGTGAGTGAATCTTCGAAGAATGACAGAAAGCGTGCGTTGAAAGCACAACAAGTATCTTGGATGACCTTGCTGACAATATATTCAGTGTAATTTAAGCCTTATTAATAGTGGCGATGCATCTTGAGTGCACCAATATTGTACGTGCAAAGTGCTAAGAAAGTTTTTTCCATATTCGAGACGTCTGCTGACTCCTTCCTAGGTGGCACCACTTGTTAAACACTGCTGCCAAGAAACAGACGTCATGTTTTGAACGTGTATTTTGTAATATTGTAACGCCTTGCTGGTGGCCTAAGGGGTCATTTGACAAATTTCGCTTGTGCCGTGCCATCATGTACACGGAGTGCAGACGCATTTGTGGCTGCGTCCTACTTTTCCTGCTTTTTGGAAGCTGTGAGTAGCGAAGGCATCGCTAAGCTTCCCCTGCCCGATTTCGCTCTGGTTGTGTTGTGCAAGGCGCGGTCAGTTCTTGTTTACTTCGTGCAACCACTTGTGAAAGTGGCCTGTAACCGATCTGTAGAGAATATTGTTTACTCTAAAACGTGCGTCACTCGAGCGTTATCCCCTTTCACTCGCTCGCTTGACGAGACTAGCAGCTTGCGTGGTTTTTGCGACTACTTTTCTAAACTTGTGTCGTCGAGTGACAAAGGTGAAAGTGTGTTTCCGTTCTCGGAATTCCGCTGCTCGTAGTTAAGTGGCGTCGATCAGATCCTCAAGACTTCGACCACTAGTTTGAACGACTGTCGATCGTCGTGGAAGTGCTTTCACGCCGTGGTTTAAGCGTCAGCATAAGTTTTCTGCTCGAAGAATTTCTCGTGTTAGTCATTCCCGCTAGCTTACTGCCGCTTGTGTAACTATATGCGCATTGCTCGCTCGTGTAAACGCTTGCGTGTATACGTTCGATCGCTGGACTGTGAATTGTTTACGTCCTAACGCAATAGTAATCCGAAGTTCCTGCAACATCGGTAAGCGCATCTCGGATACTTTTTTTTGTTGTTGTTGTTGTTAGTCGATCGGTACGAAGAGTGCGTTGACTGGCGGCATTGTTTTGATGTCGTCATGCGGACGTGCTCGCACCCGTTCTTACTTCCGTAATTCTCTCGTTTCGCAGGCAGTGCTCAGATCGGACACAAATGCACGTTCCTCAGCTGCCGCTTCGCCAGGCACGCTGCTTGCGATAGCGACAATGTGTGCCGCTGCAAGCCGGACTATCCCGTGCAGGTGTCGCCGCTCAGGTGCGCCAAAGGTACGTGACCGAGTTACTCATCTCAGACGCACTTGATCTGTTGCAATTTACGAGAATACGGAACGGGCGAGTTTCTCAGTTTCCACAGCGAGCTCTACTACCGATTCCTTGCAGCATATTTTGTGAAAATTCGTGGCACGAACGTGAGCTGTGAGCATCGTCGGAGATAGGCGCAGGTCTGAGCCGTATTTCCCATAAAACTGCGTTCTGATCTGAGATTACTAATGACATAATTTGGCAACTATGAAGACATCATGTGCTGTCTCAGTATACTTCATATCTACTTAAACCAGTCTGTTTGGACTACATTTGCGCTACTGCATTGTCTTGTTCATCATTTGAATTCAACATGAATGTGATTCATAGCAGTGCTTGAACAAGTTCCTGTTGCACAAGTTTAACCATATATTGTTGTCAGTGGTGCAGGCTGCTGTGGTGTTAACAACAGTTACCAGCTTGCAGAATTGTGCACGACTGCTGTGCATGGTGTTTCACAGCCTTGACTCAGCGTCACTTACATTTGTAAAGGAGCAGTTAAAATCTTTGACAACATATGTATACACAGTCACAATGTGGGCACAAAATTAGTGCTTTTCTTGCATACTGTTACACTGAGTGTGTGGCACTCTACCATACATCTAGGCCTGTTTGCTATTCTGTAAATTGTTGTATGGGGACGGCTTTCAGCGCGATTGTTCTTGAACGAATGAAACGAAGTCTGACTATTGGCTCTAGACCGCATTAGAAAGCTATGCATATCCAGCTCGCCTGGTGTGGGAGCATCCATCTTAACTGAACCTTGACACAAGCCGAGTGTACTGAATTTCGTGCAACTAACAGTCATGTGTATCTGTTGGCTTTCCTCCTACACAGCATGCGACTTGCTCAGAGCTAGGGAACTCTCAACAAGAAAATAAAAGTGGTGACGCTACCCTTCATGTTCTTGCACCAACCCACTGTAGATGTTGATTTCGACGGCATCTGTCAAAGCCCTTATAAATCTGTCCGTGAAAACGCTGTCAACACAATGTTCAGAGGGAGCCAGAGTCTAAATCTGGCTGGCGAGTGTCATGAAATCTTATATAACCAATCTGGTAAAGATGCAAAAAAAATTTCTAAAAAAGTATTGAACTCTGCGATGCCACACAAGCATCCAATCGCAAAGGTTTTGATGCAAATTTTAAAAACAAGACTCACCTTCAATTTCTCTTTTAATAACGACCATATGACAGCAAATTCAGTGACCAACACATTTTCAAAGGTTGCTTTGTTAGTCTAAACTAATTGTTTCACCAGCAGAAGAGAAAGAAGAACTTTACTATGTACACAAACCAGACAAACTCCTACAACATTGCTTGGCGAGGTATATTGAGGGGAAAAGCGGAACTGGTCTGGCAGGGTGGTGCCCCTATTTATCTTGTTGTACGTACCACTGAATGTGTGACGTCGGATTTGTTTCCTCTTACAGCAAGACGACATCTGGAGGTGTGCTCTGACAACAAAGAATGCACCGTGATAGATGTAAATACATACTGCTCTCGCACGTCATCGCAGAGTCGTTGCGAGTGTCATGATGATTTCATTTATAACGAGGAGACAAGACACTGCGAACATTGTAAGTAACATTATGTTTAGTGAGCTTTGTTAACAAAACCAAGGTTTTCTTGCTGTGTTGTAGAATGCCGTGTGCATTGCATAGGATGGCAACCACAAGCATACATTAGCGAAACGTCGGAACACATTTGCAAACATAGACATATGAATGATGCCATAAAAGTATGAGTTAGAAGTTGTGACTTCAAAGGGTTTCAGCACCCGAAACTTCATATGTTGTCATACGTTGGCCCTGTGAGACTTGTGGCGGTCCCATGAAATCATCTGAATTTTGAAACATGCACCCTAAAAATAGGCAGCTTTGTCATCGTAGTCAGTGATGTCTAGGGGCATATCCTACTCTATATTATAGTTTTCTCACAACAGGATGCCATATATTATTTTTTATAGGCCTCCTTTACCTACTATCAGTTATAAAAGTGATAGGTTTATGTAATTTGATTATTAATATACGCGGGTTCAATCATACTCGCGCCTTTCTTGTATCTGACGTGAGGTACTTGCGCCTCGTTTTTTGTGTTCCAGTGAAGCTTCCTCCTGTGGCGCCAGACATTCTGCTGCCCATGGCTGTTGGTGTTTCAGTAGCACTGTCCAGCATGCTCTGCTGCTTCCTTGCCTTGTGGCGACTTTGTAAACGGTCAGTCTTTGCTCTTCAACTGAAATGTGCACAAGTCGATTCTCTCATTGTGAATGTATGAATGTAGAGTGGTCACGGATTTAAATGGGACAGTCTGGGGCTAAGTAGTCCTCGTATTTTGTTTTGACAGTCCTCAGTTCGGGTCGTATCGGCATAACGTCGACACGATTACAGCTAAAGTTATTTTTAGAGACCAGATTCATCGTGACTTGACATGGTTAGCTCAAGCAATCGTGCATACCAGTCATTATACTAAAGAAATTGACGTCGCATGTTAATGTGTGGGTACTGTAGCTGTATGTGCACATGAATGTTAGCTACCGTTTGATTGGCATATAGGGATTACATCATATGCTAAGGTAGCAAGTTCTGGAAACTTTATACGGCTGAAATAGCATGAAACGTACGCGACTGCTACAAAGACGCTGACCACTTTATGTTGTCCTTGTCTTTTTAGCTGTCTCATATGTTCCACCCTGTTTTAAGCTTTTGATATGTGCCAACTAGCCCATTCTTTCATGCTTCTGAAATTCTGACAACTTCTAGCGGCACCATTGCCTGCTCGGTACGTGAAAATGCACAGGCACCTTAGTGCTGTAGTTTTGTTGTGAAATGTTCTTTTAGTGGAACTTATTAATTATGTTGCCATACTAAGACTTTTATTGCAAAATAACTAAGTGATCATCAAATAAGCTGTGCTACGATGTCGTTGGAAGAATCTATGGATTATTATAGATGTACTAAAAATGATTGTGCAGCAGCGGCACACATTTATGTGAAAATGTTCACAGTAGTGGGCCCTGAACAATGCATAAAAGGGAAAAATAGTAGCAAGGAAAAAGATTATTATTTGTGAAAAATACATATTCTGGTGCATCTAAATTAGGTGCGAATTCTCGCCGCCTTGTCCTGCCAAAATAATGCATCCTTACTGCTGCTCAGGCAAAGGAAACAAAAAAAATTGAAGCTAGAGGAGGTTCGTGAATGAAGTGAAATGCAACTAGTGCTTTAGTCATTTGTTACGGAAAGAATGTACTATCAGCGTCAGATGAAACCCGCACAGCGGCGAGCCTTAGCGATGCTATAGTGCGCGCCTGTCAATCGTGATAACTGGACGACACGCACTACACTATCGCAAAGGCTTGCTGCTGTTCAAGTCTCATTTGACGCTGATAGTACTTGCATTAATAAAAAAATGTATTTTGACAGTGTCGTTGCTAGTGCTTGGTGGCAAATTACAGAAGCATCTGTTTTTATTGTGTTCAAAGTGTAACAGCAGCTAAACTGTGTGGGGTCACAAAGAGGCGAGCGCCTCGCCATGCTCTTGGAGTGAACGGACACAGTGGACACGGTCGGTACAAATCAAACAAACACATACACACATTTATTAACTAATTTATAACGATGATATCGTCCGCCGAATGATTACATCAGTCATCAATACGCTAGGACATCCGTACATATTATATTACCATACACTCATCACAAACACAGTAACATGATAAACACACAATAACATTACAAACACAATAACACACTCAAGGCGGCGTTGCCAACGCTTGACTTACCACGAGGCCCCCAACGCGCGGGCCGCGGTACCACGCATCGAGGACCCACGCTAGAGACAACCGTTCCCGGCAACCGCCACACGACGAAGAGACTCGCTCATCTCTCACCTGTCACCAAGGCTTGCTTTCCGCCAGGGGTCACCAGCCCTACACCATAATGATGATAATAGTGGTGACCACCGCTAGCCAACACAACGCCATCTATTGCTCACTAGTCCCGAAATACGTCTTTTGGGCAAGACACATGTGCCACGCAGCGCAAACAACTTTACAGGAGGTGTCAGCACCCTCACAACTGTACTGATTATCACAGTTTCATAATTTTGAAGCCCATGGGCTTTGGTTCAATGACAGTTTATAATTGCCTGACATGTCATATCCCGCATAGCAATGAGGACTGTGTGAAATATCGAAAAAGTGAGCTCCTCCGACCGGCATCACTTCTTTAATCATATACAGTCAAGTCTCAATACAAGTAATCTCAAGGGACCGCTAAAAATCATTCGTTATTTTAAAAGAGTCGTAGTGAAAAAACAAGTTTCGCATAATAATGTAAAAATTATTGTGATAGTGCAACCAAGGGAGTCGTCTATTTGTGTTGTAGATGCATCCATCACTACAGTGAAATCTCGATACAACGAATTTGAAGGGACAGCGTAAAATAGTTCGTTATTTTGAAATATCGTTATAGTGAAAACATCGAAAATTCGCATTAAAAAGCGTAAATGCAACAAAAGGAGTCGCCTACCTTTGCTGTGTACACATCCGCAAACGCTTGATTTTATGACGAGCGTGAAAAGAAACAAAACGCGAAGTATTCCGGAATGAGCGCACGTTTATTTGAAAAAGTCGGTGATCTTGGCCTGGCGGGTGCCGCTCAACTGCCGCAGGACGAACGCTTCGAAGTTGTCCACATTCTTATGCTCTGTTTCGGTGGCATTGCTGCACCTGCCAAGGTAAGTGCGCATCTTTCGCACGCATTCCATGATGTCGGCGTTGGAAAGCGATTCTTCTGGTTGGCTAACGGGCGCGGTCTCAGCGTCGTCTTCGCCATTGGCGTCCTCGTCGCTGTTATCACCACGAACAGCACTGACGATGTCATCGGTCGTCAGTTCGGCTGACGTGCATGCTTCGTCGTCGCACTGCACATAGTCCTCGAACGTCACCGAGGCATCCATCGCGAGTCTTTCGACGACTTCTTGCCACATGCCACTCGCGTCGCTTTCTTCGCTGCCTTGTTCAGATTCAGATGGCATTACTACCAAGCCTGCCTTCCTCCAGCAGTTCTGGATGGTGGTTGATGTAACGCTCCACCAGGCCCCGGTAACCATTTCTGTGGCCTGTCGCACATTGATGGAGGTAGGCAGCTTCATCCGAAGATTTATCAGCAATCGCTGAACCAGGCGTGTCCGGTAATGGGCCTTGACACTTTTTATGATGCCTTGGTCCAGTTGCTGGAGCAAGGACGTACAGTCTGGAGGCAAGAATTCCAGCTGTACATTTGTCAGCCTGACATTAACAAGATGCGCCGAGCAGTTGTCGGCGATAATCAGGATTTTCCTTCCTGCGCTCCTCATCTCATCGTCCACCTTTAGTAGCCACTCAGAGAATAACTCTCGTGTCATCCACGCGCGTGAATTAGCCCGATAATCGCACGACAATGAAACAACGTTCCTCATGCAGCGAGGCTTCTTGTATTTGCCGATCACCAAGGGCTTCAGCTTCTTGGTGCCTGTGGAATTGCAGCATAACAATACCGTAATCCGGACTTTGGACTGCTTGCCGCCTTTGCAGCTGTTCCCTTTAAAATGCATGGTTTTATCAGGAAGCATTTGACAGAAGAACGCCATTTCGTCCGCATTGAATATATCATCTTCGGAGTATGAAGCGACGATTTCGCGGAACTTCTCGTCCCTCCATGCAGCAGCGCTTGCTGCGTCTGCCGCCTTCTCTTCACCAGACACCACTTGCCAGGTGATTCCATTCCTTTCACGGAAACGATGAAGCCACCTCGCGCTTGCTTCGAAGCCTGTGATGTCCAAAGCATCAGCGAATTGCCGGGCTTTTTCCTGCAGCATGGGTCCCGACACCGGCACATTTTGAGAATGCGCGTCCTTGAACCAAGTCAGTACTGCAGCATCCACTTCTTGAAAATTCCCAAGTCGGAGCCGTTTTCTTGACGGTGCGAGTTGGGACCCTCGGTGCAGCTCGAGGATCTTTTGTCGGTCCTTCAGGATGGTTGCGACAGTTGATGGTGCAACCCCCATCTCGTTCGCAATGTGGATTTGTTTTTTACCGGCGTCCACTTGAGAAAGAATATCTACTTTTTCTTTCAAAGAAAACTGCCTCCGTTTCTTTTTCGCGCTGCTTCCGGAGCTCATCGCGAACGCAGAAACGAATCACTCTAATTTTTAAAACGAGAAAGCCGTACGACAATCGTGCGACGTTGCCGGTCGACATAACAAAACAAAGGCGGCGAGGTTAGGCTCAACCTGGCTCAACGAGCATGCAAAAAAAAAAAACACCGAAAACAAGGTACTGGCGATGGCGATAGGGCTAGCCAGGCTCGTGCGCATTTAGCATAAGGCAATGCATGGAGAAATGAGCAGGAGCTCTGATGATGATGATAGTGCCACATATGGCGCTGGGCATTTAGACCGCCGCACGTAATTTTTACGCTAGAAATTCGTTATGTTGAAGTGCTCTTAAGGTACCAGGATGATAAAATTTGATACGTTATTCTGAAACATTCGTTATTCTGAAATTCGTAGTAGTGAAATATTTTTACATTGAACCAATGGACATTTGGAAGGGGATTTCCAAAATATTCGTTAATCTGAAAAAATCGTTAATCTGAGGTTCGTTATAACGGGATTTCACTGTACATCATTTTCTATGAAGTGCCAAAAAAACAAACACTAAGTATTACTGAATGAGTGGACGTGTATTTTAAGAAAAGCGTGGTCTTTGTCTGATGGGCACAGCTTAACCGCCTACTGCTTATGCACTTCGAAGTACTGGTAGGCATTGGCCCTAGATACTGATTCTTCGCTTTGATGCGCGTGCTGTTTCAATGTTGTCTTTGCTCTCGTTACCATTTTACTATCATGACAAATAGTAAGGACCTGTGTACTTCGTCCTCGCACTGGGCGTATTTGTCTTAGCATTTGTGAAGCATGCACGGGGCGTTTTCTGCGATTTCATCTATAGGGCATTTTCACAGCATTTTTCACTGTCACCGCATTGCTTTCGTGCTGTTATCGGAGCCGATAGTGATTATACAACCACAAAACTAAAAGGCGAGGAAGCAGCCGTGTAACAAGCATGCAGACAGAGCTGCCCGACAAAACAAAGGTTACAAAAGGAAGACTGATGTGGGAAATGAAGTACAGGTAATGGTGATGGCTCTAGGGCTGTCACACATTTGAATAGGGCAGGAACGAAAGAAATACATAGCATTCTGATGACGATAGTGGCACTACAGATCTGGGCATAGTTTTCACTGCCACAAGTGACTTTTTAAATTCATCATTCATTATTTTGAAGGGTTGTGGAAAAACACAGGCTATAAAATTCAACACATTATTGTGAAACATTTGGTAGGTATTTTGAAATTCGTAGTAGTAAAATATTCTTACATTAAGCCAACAGACATTTCAAGGGGCATTTTCAAAATAGTCGTTATGCTGAAAAAAATGTTATTATGGGTTTCGCTATAACGAGATTTGACTGTATCTGTATAAGTTAGCAGAAGTAGGCAAAAAAAGTGATATTGTTGTGCTCTAGAACAATGATGTTTATAGTATTGTCACTGTCTTTGCATCTGGCTATTGTGTCCCGCTTCATTTAAGCTTTCTGACCCCATTCTAGCTTTCGTTTGTCTGACCCGCAGGTCGCGGATTCGTATCCCGGCTGTGGCGGCTGCATTTCCGATAGAGGCGGAAATGTTGTAGGCCCGTGTGCTCAGATTTGGGTGCACGTTAAAGAACCTCAGGTGGTCGAAATTTCCGGAGCCCTCCACTATGGCGTCTCATAATCATATGGTGGTTTTGGAACGTTAAACCCCATATGTCGGCTTTCGTTTGTGAGTGTCATATTGGAGACACGCAACTCTTTGAAATGCAGATTATATTGGGAGTGCTTTTTTTTTTGTAATAGTTTAGAAAGACAAGCTAGTTGGCACTGCATTGTAAAATAGCAAAAAAAAATAATAATAAAAGCGCTCGTGTTGTCTTCTTCCTGTGTCCTCGTGTTTTTTTGGGCTATCTTACAGTGCTTTTCGTTTTCTTCGCTCCTCACATGCAGGGCCAACAATAACTTCCTGGGCAGTTTACAAACCAGTAACAGTGCAAATTCAAGAGCAACACGGGAGCACACGCCTGTCCGGACACAGGACTCGTGGAGTTCCGATACGTTGCCTTCATACGAAGCTGCCGTATCGCTGAAGGTAGGGAGACAACGCCAACTTGGTAACAGCTTAATTTCCGAGCCAACTTTGAGAGGAATGTCATCGAGACATCAGAGCTCGAAGCTGAGTTTTGCAATTGCGTGCAATTCCCTCTCTTCTCCCCCCCAAAAAAGACGAGGCATTCCTCCTCCGCATTGCCCTTAATACTCGTCATTAAACTTTACACCTTTTAAGTGTCTCGCAGGGTGCCACGGCAGAGCCATCATAAAGGGCACATAATCTCTCATGGTGGACCCATAAGTAGTATGCATACACGGTTAAACCTGGTTATACCGTATTTACTTGCGTAAACCTCACACTCGCGTAATTTTCGCACCCCCCATATTTCCCAACAAAAATGAGATTTTTTTTCTGCAAGTAATTATCGCACCCCCAGAAATTACGGTCGCAATGTTGTCAGCTCTCTCCAACCACCAATTTTGATAGTGCACTACAGCCTGGTGCCATCTCTCATGCTTTAAGCGTTCTCTCGACACATAGAGGACCAATCCAAGCCAAAGTGGCAAGTGTACATTGTGGCGTGTTAGTGTATATTGTGTCAGTTCTGTGGTTACGTTATGGGGTGACAAGGAAGCTACACAGCTGCTTTCAAGTTAAAAGTGAGTTATAAGGTGCTAAACATGGCAATAAGGCTGCCGGTGGGCACTATGGAAGCGATGAGATTTGTGTTCGCTACTGCAGATGACAGCACGGGCAGCTGAAAGTCACCAAGACGTGCTAGGCCTCCCATGTTTCTAAGACTGGAATGAATGGTAAAATTTTATTTCGTCAGAAGGTAACTGCAGACGATTTCGTGTTAGGTGGCCATCAGCTCACTGTTCACGTCATTTGCTAACCTTTTGCAGGCTCCTGTTGAGTGACGAATGCTAACGCTACGCCCGCAAGCTTTGCATACGGTTTTCCAAAAAAAAACATTACTATTTGCTTGCAGCTTTTGTGTCTCAAATAAATTTTGCCTTGTGCTGAACCAGTGTTTTCATTGCTAAGCTAAGTAATTCTCAAAGCTTATAGTTAGTTGTTACCCTGAGAATCCCGATTTGCAGCCACTTCGTTTTCTTCTTTTTTCCCCGCTCTGTATGTTCTTGAAAAAAAGTTTCCTCGCGTAATTATCGCACCTCTCAACTTTTCATCGGTTTCCCACAAAAAAGTGCGAGGATTATGCGAGTAAATACGGCAGTATCAAAAGTGAAAGGGATTGCGATGTGCTTCTGTAAGCTGACAATCCAAAACACAAAGCATGTTTTTCTGAAAGCTATGCAGACCTCGGGCACTCTATTAACATTTTTTAAAGTGGAAAGTCACTGACTTTTTTTTTTGTTTGAGTCCATGTCTAATTGACTTTTACAATCCATGGCTTTTACAGACGATAGTCTTTTTGGGGACCTTCGATGCAAAAAATTTTGGTCTGTCTGCCTGTACATCTGTCTGTCCACCCTTAACGGTACCGGGTACTCTGACCGGCAGCAGTCAATACGCCAAACGGCCGACACCATCCACAGCGCCCAACAATGTTGCTCAAGATTCATTGTTCATTCTTGTGTGATTGTCAATTAAAAAGCAACTATTGCGCCTATCTGAAGCACTATAACAACACATATATATTGAGGGAAAACTGCCAGATAGCGCTCATGTCTCACGTGTGACGTGACTTGATGCGCTCGTTCGCCTCCGCTGCACGCTCGAGGCATTCTAACGCAGCACCTCCAGAATACCATTCACCGATTTTCTTGAGGAGAACATCAAATAAATGTTTTGTTCACTCTCTCCACACGCAAGACAATCGTCTTTTGATGACATTTGCAGAATAACGTGCAGATACGGGGCCATTTATTTTGTAATTTATTCGACATTTTCATCTTATGTCGCACATGTAGGCACCAAAGGCTTTTGCACTACAGTTAGACCTGCTTATTACGAACCTCCGTATAACTAATTCTTGAATATAACGAAGTTTTTCTATTCCTCGCTGTCGCTCCATAAGAGCACATGTATTTGCGACCTCTATGTAAGAAAGTAACTGCGGGAGGCAACCTTGATATATAACGAATTCTCCCCACGGACAATCTTGTAATTTCGCTCCGCATTTCGGCATTTTGGTACGAGCATGCATCTTCCGCCGTTGCCGAAGCGGTAGCGGCGGGCATGCGGGCCCTGTCTGCATGAGGCGGGCAGGTGGGCCTGCATCCCACGAGCCGGCGTTGCCCCCTTTCTTGCTGCCGCGGTCGCATGCGCGGGTGTACCCCACCCCCCTTACAAACCAAAATAATAAAAAACTTTTGTTGGCAGTGCCACGCTTTTAATTAGCGTCACATATGTGGGGCTGCGCTGCAATTGGAGGGCATTTTACCGAATAGTTTCCGCGATAACCATGTCTGTGTCCGTGTCGTTCGCTCTTCGTTTTCATCGCCGTGCCTGCGTGCATAGTTTCACTGCGTGCGCATGGCGTGTGTGTGTGTGTGTCCCCCTCCCACCGAACGACGTTCAGCTTTGCTTTTTTTTTATTGCGACAGCGATTATGTATATGGGCAGTTTCGGCTGGGTTTTTGCCGCCGCTGCCTTCATTTACCGTATAGTATACGTACCTATATATATATATATATATATATATATATATATATTGTGAGCATCATTACTCGTTCCATCTTTTCATCTGTACATACCCATCATCACCACTGCAGTTTAGGTTGTGGGGCACATACTCGAGACAATAAAAAAGAGTCTTGAGAGTATTGGACGCCATCTTACAAGTGATGGAGAGTGCTGCCTGATTCCCGCGTCCTCTCGCGCTCTCGCACAACCCCAGCGTCTTCTAGAACACATCCCTGAAGCTCCGTTCAGGCCGCCGCCTAAACGTCCTGGGTGCGGTAATGTCGCAAGCTGACCAGCCCAGCGCAGCAGCTGCGCCACCGCTCCCACTGCCAAGAAACCCTTCTCACCTGGTCACCAGCCCTCAAAAGGATCCTCCGCTGTTCACAGGACTTCCGGGTGAGGACGTGGAAGACTGGCTCGAGGAGTATGACCGCGTGAGTGCCATCAATAACTGGGATGAGCCTGCGAAACTCACCCACGTTGCTTTCTACTTAAGCGGCGTCGCAAAAACGTGGTTTGTAAACCACGCTACCGATTTTTTGACATGGCCCGCCTTTATGCGCCAGATTTTCGCCAACCCGTCAGTGCGCTCGGATATTGCCAAGAAAAAGCTTGGTGCACGTTTTCGACGCCCCGGCGAGTCTTACACTTCTTACATTGAAGATGTTCTCGCCCTTTGCCGCCGCATCGACAACCATATGGCGGAAAACGACCGCGTGCGCCACCTGCTGAAAGGCATTGCGACGGTCGCTTTTAATGCGCTTGTGGTGCAGAATCCCCAGACTGTCGCCGATGTTGTAGCTACCTGTCAGCGCCTCGAGGAGCTTCAAACCACTCGGGTGCAACCTGATATGCCTGATCTCAGCTCGAGTCACGACACCACAGAGTTGCGTTCATTGATCCACTCTATCATCCGCGAGGAACTTCATGCATAGGCTTCACCTCGCCGCCTTGATATTCGAACGACGCCACCTGCTACTAGTTTACGCGACGTAGTGAGGGAGGAACTGGCCTTGATCACAGGCACACCAGTTCCGTGCTCAGATCCCGTGCCCATGCCAAGTTATGCTCACGGTGCTGCAACGACGCCTGCGCCCCACCAAAGCCTGGCCTCGATGACTGTCACACCTGTTCGGAATTCTTATCCTGTGGCCATGCCAACTTATGCTCACTCAGGTTGCTGCTAGGACACCTGCACCCCAGCACAGCCCAATGCAGCTACCAGTGCCCGATGTGCATGGCTCGCTCAACTCGCTCGCACCGCGATCATCTTCCCAGCCTTACAACACCTGGCGCACTATACGACCGACTTGCTTTTATTGCGGCATCCGTGGTCATATTTCAAGGTATTGCCAACGCCGTCAACAAGACCAAAGACGAAGCTACGGTGACTATGAACGGGACGACTTCTACCCAACTGGACCACCCTATCGCCGACAGTATCAGAACAGCACACGCCGGTCGCCGTCTCCACAGAACTTTGCCTCAGTTGGCAGTTCGCGTTTCTCCCGTCGTCGCTCACCTTCACCGATGCGGCCTTCCTCCTCTCCCCTTCAACCTTCTACTTCGATTCCCGACCGCCAACTGGAAAACTAAACAGTGCAGCTTCGGGAGGGAAAGCTGCATCTTCCGAACTGCGTCAAACTCCTCCAGACCGCCCATCAAATGTTTTATTGGTGTATGTTGAAGGTATACAGACAGAGGCACTAGTAGACACAGGCGCATCACTTTCCGTATTTCGTGCAGACTTTTGTGCCCGCTTGAAAAAAGTTAGGACGCCATACGATGGCCCTCCCCTTCGTTGCGCAGATGGAGTCCCTATTCAGCCTTCAAGTGTTTGTACAGTCCGCGTTTTCATAGATGGCATCCTTCACCGCATTCAGTTTCTTGTACTTCCTTTGTGCACTCACACAGTCATTTTAGGATGGGACTTCCTTTCTCGGGCATCAGCTTTCATATCGTGTCGTCAGCGAGTAATTCATATGTCAGCTACTGAGAGTTCATCTGATGTCGATCCATACAGCTTCCGTTTCGTTGCTGCCGCGGATTGTTTAATTTCGCCAGGAGATGAAGGAATTCTCACGATCGCTTCGGATACCATAGTTAACGGTGACGTGTTCATTGCTCCATCAGTTCCCTTCAAACCTGCGGGGCTTACCATTGCACCCGACCTTGTGCGGTTTAACAATGGTATGGCATTGGTCACCGCCTTGAACCCAACTTCATCGCCAGTGATGCTGCCCCAGGGCACTGCTGTGAGCTGCTTCGCTGACAGCGAGCCTTTTTTGCTGGTTCCTCTTCACGCAGAATCACCGCCTTCGTCTGCTACAACCGATACCAAGGCAACCACTGCGGCTTTAAATGCTACCATAAGTCCTCACCTCACTGCT